TGAGCCCCCGAGCGCCTGCGCGGTAGGCAACCGGGGCGCACTGCTGTGCGACGGGACTGTCGCCCGCAGGCTGCAGGGGCCCCTCCCCGCCCCGCCCTCGGGTGGGTCCTTCTCAGCGCACAGCGGCAAGCCTTGTTTCATGGAGCAGTTCACGCGCAGCGCGCGCCGCGCTCCTGTCCTGCCGCCGGACCCGACCGGACGTCCGGTCGTTACACATGGCCTGCGTGAGGAGCGGCGGCCCTCTGCTGCGGCTGCCCTGCGCGGCTGTCCTGCTGCTCGCCAAGGGCGCGGCCACCCGCTCCAGCTCGGCCCGCAGGCCCCCGGCGTCAATGTGTGTCCGCCCACGCACGCAACCCGCCCATCCCATTTGGAGGCGATGATACATGCGGGTCCGAACGACGACTCATCATTGGGCGCCAGCGGCGGCCAAGTGCGCTTTGGAAGACGACGGTCCTCGCGGGTGGGTAGGGTGGGGTCTCAAGCAAGTCCACACTTCCGGCGACGTGCTCGGCGGAACGGTAACCTCCCGACCCCGCCGCGCCGCGCCAGGCCGCCGTGTGCCTCCGCCAAGGCGGTGACATCACCACCGCCTCGGTGAGCAGGCGAGGCCGTCCGGCAGCAACAGATGGACGTAAAACAACAACAACGACAACAACAGGTGAGCGCGCCCCGCGGCGCCCGCCCGCGTGTTTGAAATTCACGCGGCTCTCTGCTGGCTCTATCGCGAAGGCGGACGGGCGCCGCCGCGCCGGTCACGGTTCGGAAAGAATTAATGTCCAGGGCGCCCGCGTCGCCTGGCAGGGCAGCCCGGCCTGCGAGGAGAGGAGGGAGGCCCGCGTCGAACCCGGCGCGGTCTAAACTTAGCGCCGTCAACTAAAACCCCTGGCGCGGGGGCGCCACCACGCCCGGCCCTCGGCTCAGTGTTTACAAACCATGGCGCCCTCCCGCGCCCCGCACTCCTGGTGCCGCCCGGGCCCGGCCCAGCCCGGCCGCAGCCTGACCGCCGACCCTGTTCTGTTGGCGAGGCGGTCAGGCGGCGCGTCCGGCCCGGCCCTCGGCCCGGCCAGAGTACAGACCTGCACGGGGAAGGCCGTAAAAGCGGAGCGGCCGTGGGGGAGAAGGCGGGGGTGGTGTGGGGGTGCGTCCCGACTTGATGACCGGCCTGTCCGCCAGACGCGCGCGGCGATTTAGAACCCTCCTCGTCTAGTGAGGGGAAGGGGTGTTGGTGGGGCCGAGGGCGGCGGGGGGCGCCGTAGCTCTGTGGCGCCACACCCGGCCACACCCCTCAACGCCCCGCACTCGGCACGCGGCGGGCCGGGCCCCGAGTGCGGACCTCTATCAGGAACAAGTAGTGTCGACCTTCGCCTGTGCCTGGCCTGGCCAAGTCTATAACCCCAGGGGGATTTTAAATTTTTCCCGCTAGTCTGAAGCTCTCTCCATGAGCTTTTAACGGTGTTACCGACCAGGCCCACACAACCGGCGGCGCAACGAAGCTGGGCAGCACAGAGCAGCCGACGCTCTGTTTGTTTGCTTTCCGGCGCGAAATTATCGGAAGGTTATCTGCTGCGGCAGACAAAAACTGATCCGCAAACACAATGCCATCCTCGTGATGGGCCGCCTGGCGTGACCCGGGGGGGAGGGGGCGTAAGGCGATACGCCCAAAAATAAGGAGGAAATGAGCTCGGGGAGAGAGGGGCAGGGAGGAGGGAAGAGAGTCCTCTCTCTCACACACTCATTCCCTGCGGTGTGTAGGGCCGGGGCCCCGGCGTCGCGTCGCCCAGAGAAAGGGGCCCCAAAGGCAGGCCGGCCACGCCCACCCCGACCCGAAGTGGGCCCCCGCCGCGCCCCGCACCCAGCGCCCAGCGCCGCCGCGCCCCGCAGCACGATATTGAGAAGGCGGCACTCTGGGAGAGGAGAAAAAGAATCTCCGAGCGAGAACAGCTGCAGCAACTGAACCTTCTCTCTGGTGGGTTATTTAGTTTCTGATTTCTCGTCGCTTCGGGAGAGAGAGTGCGGCGGCGGTCCTAGGAGGGCGAGGGCCGCGAGGGCGTGCCCGGCCCACCTGGTGGCCGCCGGAGTGCCGCCGAGTGCACTGGAGGAGGACGGGCAAGGAGGAATGCAGCGAATGCAGCCGAGCGCAGAGCGGCGCGGCGACCGACCGTCTGCCGTTGTTGTTTACAAACGTCGGACGGACAGTCGGACGGCGAAGAACCGAAAAGGGACCGCGCGCTGGGCAGACAAAGGGAATGCCGGTCGCGGCGGTCGGACGGGA